TGCTTTATGTGGAATGAGTCTGTAGCGAAACGAGGAAGTAATGAAATTGCAAGTTGTGTCTATTATTACATGACAAATCATGCAATAAGCAAAAATTTAATTTTTTTTAGCGACAACTGTGCCGGGCAGAACAAAAATAAATTTATCGCCTCTATGTATTTATATGTTGTTACTAATGTGAGCCATATAGAATCGATTACCCACAAGTTTTTAATAACAGGTCACACACAAAACGCTGGTGACAACATGCACTCATTAATAGAGCGACAAAAAAAAGAGTGCTGAAGAGCGGTCCAATTTATGTTCCAACTGAATGGGCAACTGTAGTGAAATGTAGCAAAAAAAGTGGTTCACCCTACATAGTTCGGGAAATGGAAACAAAAGACTTCATTGATTTTAAACATGTTTCCTTTCTGTTTGGAAACAACTATAAAATTGACCAAAATAAAGAAAATGTGAAGTGGACAGATATAAAAATTCTGCAATGTAGAAAAGATAGTCCGCACATAATTTTATTTAAGTACAACTATGATGACGAACTATGGAATTCTATTAATATAAAAAAATCATCGCGGACTACACATAATATACGTGAAGTGCTACTTAAACCTGCTTACAAAGAACAGCCAAAAATTCAAATGGCCAAAAAGAAAGATTTGGTATCCTTATGCCATTCGAGTATGATACCAGAAGCTTACCATAGTTTTTATGAAAATATTTTGGCCCAAGATGATCAAGAAGAGGACAACAACTAACAGAAAGTGTGTCTACACCTTTTACAATTTTCCGTGCAAAAGTGTTGTAACTTTAAAATTCCAATACTAAATGTGTAGTGATTAACAATTTTGTCCGTGCAAAACTGTTGTAACTTCGAAATTCCTAATTTTTTTAGCATAAATATTATTTTGTTTAAATTTTTATTTTTAGTTAATGTAATATAGGCTATAAAGCATGTAAAATAATAATTAAATGTTAATTTTTCTTGAAACTTGTGTCTTATTTCACCGATATTAGCACGAAAATAAACAAAATCGTCTGTATCTCGAAACTTACTTATTCTGACTTACTGCAGTCTTGCACTGAGGGTGCGATATATATATATATATATATATATATATATATATATATATATATATATATATATATATAGACGAGAACCCCAAAGGCTTATACAACCTTATCTCATGGCGTTGCACGAACAGTTGTCACTTTATCATAATATCCCAAGGCAGTAATAGAAGCTTTGACCAACCAAAGCATTGAGAAATTGTGCAGAGAGGAGACCATCGAGCAAAAAGACAGAAGAGGGAATGTAAAGGTAGTGGGGCCAAAAATATTGTTACGCAGGAAGTGCCATCTTGAGAGGCCACATGAAACAAGGAAAGATAGTATTTCCTTATTTAAGAAATCAAATTTAGTTGCGTTATGTTATTGTTTATCCCAACTGCCATATGAAATCTTATTTATATTGAAGTTATTTTAACAATTGTGTCACATTTTAGACTGTTATCGTTAATATTTATTTAAAGTTTCTCGTCTAAGACCCATTCTGAAAATTATTTTATAGCTACTGTAAATAAGTGTCGGAAAATTTAAATTTGACGCGTTCGAATTTCCGAATATGTCCGCCATCAGAGGCCACTTTTTTGTTCTCCTTTTGATAATGATTAGATTCCCTCTTTTGTCTTTTTGCTCGATGGATGAGACGAAATATTCACAAAAATCTTCAGCACAATCCTAGAAAATATATTAAACAAAGTACACTGAGAGAACAATGCCATGTCCATTGACTTAATTAACAACACATTAGTCTATCTATGATTTGCCGACGACATCGTTGTAATCGCAAATAATCCTGCAGAACGACAAGAACTTATAAGTCACCTAAATACAGCTAGCAATGAAGTTGGCCTAAAAATAAACTTGGTAAAAACAGAAACCATGTACAATGAGCTAATGGATGTCTAAGATGTAATATTAAACAACACTGCACTTAAAAGAGTAGACGAGTATGTAAACTTGAGACGATTAATACATAAATCTGAGTCCTTTCTTCCAGAAATCAACGGGAGAGCAAAATTGGTTTGAGCATGTTTTGGTAAAAATACTGAAATATTTAAATTCAGAATGCCATTCCATCTAAAGAAAAGAGCATTCGATCAGTATATACTACTTATCATGACATAATACGAAATTAGGACACTAAATAAAAAGATAATATCGAAACTTTAAGTCACCCAAAGGTCACTGGAGAGATGCATGTTAGGCATAACAAAGAGAGATCGCAAAAGAATAGAATTGATCAGACAGAAAATCCATGTCACTGATGTAATCCACAGAATCAAATTTCTAAAATAGCAGTGGGCGGGACATTTAATGAGAAAAACTGACAATAGGTGCTCAACTAGAATTACACTATTTTATTAATTTCGTATATTGTATACCATTGTGGCGTAGGGATAACTAAATTTTTATGTTGATATTTTTCTTAAAAAAAAAAGACGTGTTGGCCTGTTGACTTAATTATAAGACTCAACGCACATACAATTGACCGAAGTCGGGTCGTGACTAATATTACGAAAATCAGCAGCAATACTATCACTCGAATTGTCTATATTAGCCCAGGGAAATAAGCATTTTTTTATGACACTCGTCCGGCCAGGCAAACGACAGTTGTTTATGAGTAGTACGGACCTCTGTAACAAAAACCTATAAGTTTCCTGCAGTCGATTTTTTTGGCTTAATTAGTTATTAACAAATTAAGGTCAAAAAACGAAAAATTTTTAAAGCAATTTAAACAAATTTTAGAAGAGAGGAAACTTATAAGTTATATAAAAACCTTCAAAATGGCGTTTTCAAAATGTTTCTATCCTTATTTGTTGCTTAGAAAGTTGTAAAATAAGTCAAAAATTTCGGTTTTTTATAAATGTTAATAACTTTTTTGAAAATAAACTTATAATATTTATATTTCATAGAATGATGTGTCTTGTATAGCTTAAAATAGGGTTAAAATATCAAAGTGATCGGTCCAATAGTTTAAAAGTTATTTTATTTGTTTATCCCAAATTAACATTTTTTGCAACAATATAAGTCAGAAATTTATACAGTTTTAGAAATTGTAAGGGTTGTTTCTGGTAGAAGAAGACTTGTTTTATTATTTACATTAAAAAAAAATTAAGAAAATTAATTTTAAATATTGCAAAATAATTTTGCAAAAACATGTCGATTTTTTGCTTATAAACTATTTTTTAAATATGTAAAATACTATTTTTAGATATTTAAAAAGCTTGATTTTTTTCACAAATTTAAATAAAAAAAAGTTTGTCCTAAAATAATTTGGTACAAAGTTAGCCTCTTTTTTTATTTAATTCATAGCACCTTTGTTTATAACAATTAAGAAATCTAATTAGCGCTATTTGAAAGAATATACATTATAGTTTTAAACTACTAAATTTTAAAATTATTGTCCTTTAATGGAATCCTCCACAAAGCTTTAAAATGTATGTAAAATCCGTCGGCTTTGAAACTCTCGGGAGCTGAAGGGAGGGGGAAGGCACTGTTAACTGTATCTCTGTTCCTTTTTTATGTATTTCAACGTTTCTTTTTGAACTTGTATGTACTTTTTGCGTACATTACGAATATGCATTATTTCAATAAATAAATTGTCAAATAAACCAGATAATTTGTTTAAAAACAATTTTTTTTCATTTCTTTAGTAGTATTTAAGTTAAGTTTGAATGTAAAACAGAAGTACTTGTCATTTCCTATATTTTGGGGAATAAGCCACAATTTAAGTTTATAATAAGTTTATTTTTGGCGTTTCGATTTCTACTTGGGAAATCTTTCTCAGAATACAGAACACTAATAAATTAATCAAATTTTGTTTTTGGTTACTTGGTGGAAAATTGGATTGGAAAATTTTTCTGATAAAGTCTTCTGGGTGATTGATTAGGGTGAGGAAGCTCAGTAGATCTGTTTTAGTAAAAATTACAAAAAAAAAAGTTATTGACAAAACTTGTAGACAGCTTTAAACTCGACCTTTTAAAATTAGTTACAATCTTACAGGGTGTTCTGTAAGTTGGTGGCAGACCAAACTTATGTTTTTTAAATAAAACACCCTGTATTTTATTTTGAATTTGAAATCTGCTTCACTTCCATATCACAACAATGTAAAGTTTTATTATGTTATACCGGGTATTTAAAAAGTTATAACCAATATTACCTGAAAATCGTATCAAGTTTAACTCCCTGTATAATTAAAAAGGAGTATAGGTCCATTGATCTATTGCAACCATAGTTTTTTAATAATTGTTAAGAATTATAAAACATATTCGTTTTCATAATATTCGTTAAATCAAATACATGGTAAGTCAAAATGCACCATTAAAACCATTAAATTTGAATCTATTTAGATTTCTTAGATTCTGTATATTCTTATATCCTACTATTATTAAGCATGTTGCTATTACATTCACTGCCGATGACATCAATGTTAGTAAGGATAGTTCTTTACGCAGATCAAATAACTTAGTACGTAAACGAAAACAAACTTTATCAACTAAAACTATATATATTTTATATTTAGTGCTATGAGTACAAATATAATTTCTGTCTGAAAAACACACCATCTCTATTAGTTTTGGTTAATTTAGCGGCGTGATTTTAGATGATTTATTTCATTATATGTTTGTTCGATTAGACGTTAAAACTTTTCTGCACTATTCGTCACTAAAACGATACGATCAGCATAGTATTACTAAAAGGTAGAAGGCCGAAGATCACGAGGAAAATCCCCAGTAAGATGGATCGACCAAATTACAGAAATATTTCAAAGACCTATATATGAGTTAAAATAAATGACCAATGATAGAGATCGTTAAAGACGGTCAACACATGGCATCATTATGATCACTACACACCGACCCCTTGAGGGGTCAGGACTGAAGAAAGAGAGTATCACTATAAAAAAAATATTAAAAATAAGTTAATCTATATCTTACTTATATGAATTATGGTGGAACTTATTATAAGATCCAAGTGCTGGAAGAGCACCACAGCCAATACTGTAAGCGAAAAATATTTGCGAGGCACCATCCATCCAAGGTCCTGGAGTCAGTAGCGCCTCCCACTGGGGGGTAATGTAATAAAGTAGACCTGTTCCGGCACCTTCTAAAGTTACAGCTCTTACCAACATAATCAGAAGGATGATGTATGGGAAGAGAGCGGTGAACCACATTATCTAAAAAGATTTAATAGGTTATATTTATATTTACTGATACAAAGACAAGCAGAAACGTGAAAAAAAGTAATATAAATAATAACTACAGAGCCAGTTTTTATAATCCACAAGGAAAATGAAATTCCTATAGTTGACTGTATACCATCAATCACAAAAGTTTAAAAAATTTAAAAATCCTTTATAAAAGGTATGTAATTAAAAAACCCCTTTCGGGCTACCTCACAAAACGTTTTTGGACTAAAAAGTCCATCATCAATGTATTATTACCAGAAGTACATGAGTCAAACTACTAAATATCTGTGTAAAACACTTACTGTCTTACTAATAAAACACTCGTATTCTAAGGTTATTCCGTATTTATACCTAGAATAGTTATTCTAAGTATAAGGTAAATATAATTCTAAAATAATTTGTTACAAATAAACTCGGTATAAGTTAGTTATAAGTATTCCCACTTTATTCCGAAATAATAGTTTGGCAATGTCGCAATCTTTTGCATAAATACATGGAACAACGAAATATTGATTGAAATATGTCAATTTTGATTTTTCTTTGAAACTGACAATGACAACTGACACCATATATATCTTTATTTAATATCTTATATCAAAGAATATAGAGTATATTCTTTGCTTATATGTTGAGTTTGAGTATTTAAAAATTGCCATAAACCTTACACCGACTTTAGAAAACCGATATTTTATTATAAATTCTCTATCAGTGTTTTGAAAAGGGATTTATTATTTCTTTAACAGTTTTTCTTTTTCGTGTATTTTCCATCATGTTAATTAAATTATCAACTTATTATTAACAATTATTAAATAGTACTAGTATTAAATAATAATCACAAAATAATACAAAAAATAATATATTCTTGTCACTGATGACTTTCACATTTATAAAATAGGTTATACCGTTATACCAGACTTAAACTAGGGTGCGGGTCGGTATAATCTTGGAATAAATTCTTATATCAAGTATAACCTATATCTAAGTTATTCCGTGTTTATTGTTAAAGATTTTGCCTATACCTGATTTATTCTCAGTATAAGTTTTATACTTGGTTTATTAGTTACGCTGTTAAAACGGTACAAAATTTATTGTCTGTTACAATTTTGTTGGAAATGTGGTGTGATGTTAAAGTTTTTAACAGATACCTTACATGGCAACGTAAGACTGCCAATAGAGGTTTCTGCTGACCCTTAAATAACGTCTAAATGGATTCTAGATGAAAATAATTTTAATTCGGCAGCTAATCAACTCATTTTAATTAGTGGCCATCTAGAACTCATTCAGACGTTGTCTGAGAGTTAGCAGAAACTCCTATTGGAAGTCTCATTTTGCCATACAGGGTATCTGTTAAATATTTTAACATTACACCATCTTTTCGACAAAAATAAAACAGATAATAAATTCTTTACCATTTTAAAGGATTTTTACCCAGATATTTAGTGCCTTGACTCTTGTACACCTGGTAAACATACATTGATGATGGACTTTTTAGTCTAAAAACGTTGTGTGATGCAGTCCGAAAGGGCTAATTTTTATATGTTATTATGATAGTTCGGATATATCTTTATTACTAAAAGGACTATTTGATTTACCTTTCCACTCTGATGTAGTCCCTTTCTTATAATTCCATAGACCATAATCCATCCAACACAGAGTGCTATAAATAAATGCCACTGCATACCACCCAGCTCTTCTAGGCCGGATGTTATACTCAGTACTCTTCGGCTAAAATAAAACATAAAATTTGTAAATATCCATAACTTTTGAGTGATAAATTTTGATTTAAGTTTAGTTACATTAACTTAATTAAAAAAAAACTAAAAAAAAATTAATTTAAATAATGTAAGTGAAGAAAAGAAAAAGTAGAAAAGAAAAAAGACCCCAGAAAAAGAATATGTATCATTTCCGCCACATGTATTCGTTGTTCTTCTTTATTCTTAACTACCCACCATCAGTTCCGCACATCATGCCGGTTTTGCGGCAGTTTTATTGGATTTTCTCCTTAGTTTTATTGATATCTTTCTGTCACACTAACACCACACACCAATTACGTTCGTCCACTTCATATATCCCATCCACCCGAACTCTACTACATGTACCTCCATCTATTTGCCTATTACGATGTAATACCTATCCTGGATAATTAAAACTTTTACTTTTCACAATCATTTCACCATCCAAAGTTATTATTTTATTTATAGTAACCTCAGCTTAATTGAGTTCTGTCAACTTTTTGGTTTAAAAATAATGAATACCCAATTCCAACATAAAAATATTTATAAATAGACTTGGAAACGACCTTCACTTCAACAGAAGTCGATCATAGACTATTTAATAATGAAACAGACATCAAAATTTAGGTGCTAAGACTGCAGAGTAAAAAGAGGATCAAAAGGAATAAAAGAAGAATAGGGCAAAGCATGGTTGAATCAGTTCTTTGTTTTGGCTCTCAAGTATGGACAATTAATGCAGATCTAAAGAGAAGATTGTTGGCAGTTGAAATGGGTTATTTGAGAAGAAGTGCTCGAATATCAAGACTAGAAAGGAAGACAAACGAACCTATAAAAAATAACGTGAATGCTACAGAAACGATCATTGACACGTTTGGACACGTATTGAGAATGCCTGACGAACGTTGGCCCCAAAAACTTCACAGGTGGAAGCCCCCTGGAAGAAAAAAAGAGGTAGACCTGGACGCTCATGAAATAAAGGAATTAGAACAGCGATGGAATCGAGAGGTTTGGAGGAGGAGCATGCCTTGGACTGGAAGGATTGGCGGAGGAGAACGGTTATACGGCCGGACAGCCGTCTCCAAAATTTATATATATATATATATATATATATGAAACTTTTGCCGAGCTTTCGGCATCCTCTCTGATGCCTTCCTTCACTGACGCAGTTCAACCCGGAAGACTGGTGAGTTTGATATTAATTTTAGTAATAAGATTAATCTTAGCTCTAGGTTTCATTGTACTAACCGCGGAAATCTTTCCGAACATATATTATATATATATATATATATATATATATATATATAATATAATATATATATATAATATATATATATATGTAGTTTCATATATATATATATATATATATTCATATATAGATATGAAACTACATATATATATATATATATATATATATATATATATATATATATATATATATATATATATATATATATATATATATAGATAGATATGAAACCTAAAGCTAAGATTAATACCATTACAAAAATTAATTTTAAACTTACCAGTCTTCCGGGTTGAACCTCGTCGATATCCATTCGCCAAGCTTTCGACATCCTCTCTAATGTCTTCCTCGGGCTTCTGAGGTCTCAGTCTCCCCTCAGCCCCCTGACACTAATCACTACACTTGTCACTGATTACTTCACTATCACTACTCACTGACACTACAGTAGTGATAGTGAAGTGATCAGTGACAAGTGTAGTAGTGTCTGGGGGCTCGGGAGACTGAGACCTCGCAAGCCCTGAGGAAGACATCAGAGCGGATGTCGAAAGCTCGGCCCAATGGATATCGACGTGGTTCAACCCAGAAGACTAATGAGTATAATATTAATTTTTGTAATAGTATTAATCTTAGCTCAAGGTTTCATTATATTTACCGCGGAAATTTTTCCGTAAATATATATATATATATATATATATATATATATATATATATATATAATATATATATATATATATATATATATATATATAACAAAACTGGTAGGATTATCGACCGAAACGTAAATAACAATTTATTGTTTTGGAGTATCAGGTATGCGGTCTGTTATTAAAAAAAAAACTCTTTTTCCTTTTATTACTCTATATTTCGCTGATTTTTGTCAGCTTCTTCAGGAGATATATAGAAATAGAGAGTAATAAAAGAAAAAAAAGTTTTTTTTTAATAACAGACCGCATACCTGATACTCCAAAACAATAAATTGTTATATAATATATATATATATATATATATATATATATATATATATATATATATATACAAATATATATACATATATACATATATATATATATATATATATATATATATATATATATATACAAATATATATACATATATATATACATATATATATATATATATATATATATATATATTATATATATATAATATATATATATATATAATTCTTTGGAGGGTAACTTTCGGGAAAGCGTCAAAACAAGGATCAGCTAGAGATGGTATAAGCCAGCTTGGTGTAGAACTTTATTCTATATGTGAAATTTTAATTTAACATTCTTTCCCTTTTTGAAAGTCTATGTTTTTTTTGTGGTCTGATTGTTGTTGGACAATTTTCGTTTGGTGGTTTCGTTACATTTTCGTTATAGACTATGGAAAAAATTCCAGTGTCAGTGATCCCTACAAATCTCTTTACTTTTGATATTGGGTAAAAGGTTTTTGATTGATAGTCTATATCAGAGATAAGCGATAGACTTTTTTAAGTTTTGAGAAAACAGGATACATGAACTCTTTTTATGACACATAGTTTCATATTAGACATTAAAAATTGTGTGTAATATTTCACTATGGCATAATAGAAAACATTAGACTTTAATAGACTTTAACATTAAAACCCATCACTGATTCGTCGACTATATCAATCCCAAAGGTATTTAGCCAATCTGATTTAGAAACATTCATTGTAGGTTCTTTATACATCGATCCTGGCATGATATTTTATACATTTATATGTACATATATATATATATATATATATATATATATAATATATATATATATATATATAATATATATATATATATATAGAGTGTGTATAACGACGCTAAGAATACAATTCTTTGGAGGGTAACTTTCGGGAAAGCGTCAAAACAAGGATCAGCTAGAGATGGTATAAGCCAGCTTGGTGTAGAACTTTATTCTATATGTGAAATTTTCGGTGATATGTTGTCACCTTCATCAGCACCTAAATGGAAAACCTATTATAGTACAGTGGTGGAAATCAACATTTAAAAACCTACATTGAAAATGTTCAGTTGGTCCTAGTTGTAAAAAACACTGTCACAAACATGTTAAAAATATTAAAAAATACATTTAAAATTTTGAATAAAAACATTACAAACAACAGGGTAGTTTTTCAAATACAAACACAACAAAAAATCTAAAATTTACAACCTACAAAAACCACAAATAGAAAAGAAGAATTAATCTTCTTTTTTGATGACATATTTCTGTCAACATCCGGGTGTCATATGTAACGAGGTTATAATTTTCACTTTTGCACATCACAACCACATGGATACGAAAAGAAAGAGCCCTAGGCAACATAATAAGCAAGGAAATGAAGTCCCCTCTAAAGCACAGGTAGGTAATCTATGCATGTCATGATAAGTTCCCCACATTTTCCAGTTTGTTACTTCTTGTCAAGTCCTGTTGAAGTAGAAAGGAATAAATACAACTTAAGTTTTCAACATCTTTCTTACAGTTCATAGGAGAGCTGCAGTTATGGATGTAGCACATTTCTATGAAGTTTCTCTTAAATTGGTTGTCAACCCTCTTTAGTACTTGCACATTTTCATAGTTAGCAGTGTGTCCAGTATTCTTAATATGTTGGCTAAAGGCTGTGCTGGTGGGCTTCCTCACAACATCACTCCTGTGCAAAGCTATTCTTTTTGAGAGTTTCTGGCTGGTTTGACCGACATACACTTCTGAACAAGAACCACATGGAATAGAATACACTACATTGAAGTTATCCAGTTTTTTAACTCTTTCTGTCAGGTGAGTAAAGTATGTCCCTAATCTTTTGTAAACAGAATTTGCTATCACTATGTTGAACTGTCTGAAAAGGTTTGTGATCTGTGGTGATAAACCTTTGATGTAAGGCAATCTCCCATAGAACACTTCTACTGTTTCTCCTTCTAATGTTTGTCTTTGCTGTGTTCTAACTGTTGGCATATCTTGAAATAGCAATTTATTAAGAAGCATCTTAGGGTAGTGATTTTTTCTAAGAATCTCATACAATAACTTGATGTTCTTATTGTAGTTTGAAGGGTGACAAATTCTTTTTATTCTGTTTTTCAGACCTTTGATGATGTTAATCTTCTGTTCGTCTGGATGATACGAGTGAAAAGGCACATATCTACCTGAGAATGTTTTTTTTCTGTACCAATCCAACCTTACTGTATTGTCCTCATGTCTGGTTACATAGGTGTCTAAGAATGGAACACTATTATTTTCTTCTGTTTCAACTGTGAATTGTAGGTGAGTGTTATATGAGTTGAAAATGTCAAGAGTGTAGTTGATTTTGTCTGCAGGGACTGCACATATGAGGTCGTCTACATATTGGTAAATGAAGGGGAACTGGAAATCAACTTCTTGAGTACAGTAGTGAAGTAGGGAGTTCATTACAATTTCTGCCAAAGTAGGGGATATAGCTCCACCCATGGGTGCTCCTTTTATTTGGACATAGAATTCATTTTGAAAAGTGAAATATGTATTGTTGTATAAAAAGGTAATCAGTTTCAGGAACAAAACTTTGGGAATTGTACAGTTCTGTTCAATAAGATGGTAATTAGTTGTCAGAATAGAAACTACCAGTTCAAGAGGGATGTTGGTAAACAAGGAAGTAACATCAAAACTCACCAAGACATATCCTGAAGGTAGTAAAAACCCATTGATCTTATTTGCAAATTCAAAAGAATCTTTAATTTTGTAGGTATTATGAGAAGAAAAAGAAGTGTCAATAATACCTGCCAGATATTTAGCCAAGGATTGAGTGGGGGCATTCTTGCAAGCAATTATAGGACGTAGAGGGCACCCTTCTTTGTGAATTTTTGGAAGTCCATAGTATGTTGGGGTGGTACCGGTGTAGTTGGTTAATTCTTTTTTTGTTTTGGTGGTAATATGTCCTTCTTCATGTAGTTGTTTTATTAGTAAGTTAGTGTTTCTTTCTACTGATGGAGTCAGATCTTTGGGGATTTTTTTATAGGAATGTGGGTCATTGAGAAGTTCAAATGATTTGGTGATGTACTCGTTTCTGTCCATTATGACTGTAGTGTTACCTTTGTCTGCTCTTGTTACTATAATATCAGGGTTGTCTTTCAGAAATTTTCTCGTTTTTGTTTCAATGGCCATGGATGGACTGATGTAATAACGGTTGGTTTTGATGTGGTTGGTAATGATATTCGTGATTTTTGAACGTTGCAAATTCTGTGAATCTGTAGGGAGTTTCTTAATACAGTACTCAATGTCTGCTAGGTATGTGTACATGTCAATATCTTTCACTGAGACTGGTAGTGAAAATTTTGGACCTAATGATAGAAAAGATTTTATGTCTTGAGGCAAAGTCACTTTGGATTGATTTACCAACCATGCATTTTCATTTGTAGTTGTGAGTGAAGCTAAAGGATCTTTAAGTTGGTTAAGTTTTGAGATGTTGCTTCTTTTTATACAGTTGAAAATTCTTTTATATCTTTTGTCCTGTAGTCCTGTAGTCTTAATAAATTGCTATTTCAAGATATGCCAACAGTTAGAACACAGCAAAGACAAACATTAGAAGGAGAAACAGTAGAAGTGTTCTATGGGAGATTGCCTTACATCAAAGGTTTATCACCACAGATCACAAACCTTTTCAGACAGTTCAACATAGTGATAGCAAATTCTGTTTACAAAAGATTAGGGACATACTTTACTCACCTGACAGAAAGAGTTAAAAAACTGGATAACTTCAATGTAGTGTATTCTATTCCATGTGGTTCTTGTTCAGAAGTGTATGTCGGTCAAACCAGTCAGAAACTCTCAAAAAGAATAGCTTTGCACAGGAGTGATGTTGTGAGGAAGCCCACCAGCACAGCCTTTAGCCAACATATTAAGAACACTGGACACACTGCTAACTATGAAAATGTGCAAGTACTAAAGAGGGTTGACAACCAATTTAAGAGAAACTTCATAGAAATGTGCTACATCCATAACTTCAGCTCTCCTATGAACTGTAAGAAAGATGTTGAAAACTTAAGTTGTATTTATTCCTTTCTACTTCAACAGGACTTGACAAGAAGTAACAAACTGGAAAATGTGGGGAACTTATCATGACATGCATAGATTACCTACCTGTGCTTTAGAGGGGACTTCATTTCCTTGCTTATTATGTTGCCTAGGGCTCTTTCTTTTCGTATCCATGTGGTTGTGATGTGCAAAAGTGAAAATTATAACCTCGTTACATATGACACCCGGATGTTGACAGAAATATGTCATCAAAAAAGAAGATTAATTCTTCTTTTCTATTTGTGGTTTTTGTAGGTTGTAAATTTTAGATTTTTTGTTGTGTTTGTATTTGAAAAACTACCCTGTTGTTGTAATGTTTTTATTCAAAATTTTAAATGTATTTTTTAATATTTTTAACATGTTTGTGACAGTGTTTTTTACAACTAGGACCAACTGAACATTTTCAATGTAGGTTTTTAAATGTTGATTTCCACCACTGTACTATAATAGGTTTTCCATTTAGGTGCTGATGAAGGTGACAACATATCACCGAAAATTTCACATATAGAATAAAGTTCTACACCAAGCTGGCTTATACCATCTCTAGCTGATCCTTGTTTTGACGCTTTCCCGAAAGTTACCCTCCAAAGAATTGTATTCTTAGCGTCGTTATACACACTCTATATATATATATATATATATATATATATATATGTACATATAAATGTATAAAATATCATGCCAGGATCGATGTATAAAGAACCTACAATGAATGTTTCTAAATCAGATTGGCTAAATACCTTTGGGATTGATATAGTCGACGAATCAGTGATGGGTTTTAATGTTAAAGTCTATTAAAGTCTAATGTTTTCTATTATGCCATAGTGAAATATTACACACAATTTTTAATGTCTAATATGAAACTATGTGTCATAAAAAGAGTTCATGTATCCTGTTTTCTCAAAACTTAAAAAAGTCTATCGCTTATCTCTGATATAGACTATCAATCAAAAACCTTTTACCCAATATCAAAAGTAAAGAGATTTGTAGGGATCACTGACACTGGAATTTTTTCCATAGTCTATAACGAAAAATGTAACGAAACCACCAAACGAAAATTGTCCAACAACAATCAGGACCACAAAAAAAACATAGACTTTCAAAAAGGGAAAGAATGTTAAATTAGTTTTAAAAATTCTAATTGGTGCTAAATGACACCTTTATTAAATAATTTAATAATTCTCACTCAAAAAATTCTTCAACTGCTGAAGAGGAATTCCTGGAAATTAAGCTGCTAACATTGAATGTAGTTGTATTATCCTTAACTAAACAGTTTTGGCTGTTCCACCATTGACCTAAAAATTATGGTTAAAATAAAATAGCATTAAGTAGAAGATAAAATAAATCATATAATTATTTACTCTAAATAAATTATTAAGCTTAATGTCTATTCATTCAATATAGTTCTATTGGCAGCACAGGTATAGTTTTTACTTGATACATAATTCAATAAAACAATTTCTTGATCAATATTCTTGAAATAAAATCGTAACTGTCTTATTTTAATAAGAGGTTTTTGTGTTGTGTAATTTTGTGTTTTTCTTAGTTTTAAATTTAGTAACGTGACAATGACCAAATTTACAAAAAAAAACTACAAGTTATTTATTTTGTTCAGAATGATCCAACAAATTCAAAAAACATTTGTCCGAGTTGAAAAAAAATGGATTGTTACAATTTGCTTAAAACATTTTGAACAACTTTTCGCCAGAGCGACCTCTTGAACCTTATTTTGGGGTATCTGATGCAAAAAAATCTCATGGGAATATTTTTCCGAAAGAACCTCAGCTTTTCGCCTTGTCGATAAGTACTTATAGTCTAGACGGGATCTGTTTTGGATTGGACATTTTTCATAGAAAGCTATTTTTTTGATGGAATCGCTTCAGGATGTGCCCAATATCGATAATCACGATATGCGCCAGTCGCAAACTCTGTGCTAAATTTTTTATTTAACAAAATCTGAAAACAATTGAAAATTTCTCATTTTTTTGCTCCTATTTTCGTTTATAATTCGAAAAATATTGATCCTAGAGAAACAATTATAACAAGTTAAAAGTTACGTAATTCAATTTTACACAATATTTCGTTAGCTAGAAATTGAAAATTTATTGTTTATTGTTGAAAAAATAGCAATAATTGGAAAAAAAGTACAAAAAAATGAAGTTAATCAATTAAATGTTTTTGACTTTCTAAACTTGACTTACAAGCTTCATATTCCGCCTAGATAAACTTTTTAATAAAAAGGTGTGCTAAATTTTGTTAAGATCGGTAGGATAAGTATTGCATAATAATTGTGCAATCCAGCCTACTGGAAAAAATCGCAAATTTTCAAATTTATAGTAGGCCCTAAACAAGGCACTCAGATAGTTGCAATTTTTTTTTACGTATAAAGGAAGGCTCAAACTTTCAAATGCTTTTTGTAAAATTTAAATCGGTTCACTAGGAGAGCGTAGAAATTTTTTTAAAATTTTAAACATTTTTTAGGCTTATAAAGAAATTGAATAACTTTACGAGCTTTAAACATATCATTTTCGAATAAAAATATATTCTCAAATCAAATAATGTCATTATTATAATAAAACTACAGAAATTAATTATTTTAAAAGATTTTTACAAAAAAAAAATCGTCTTTGTTTTAACAATTAAAATTATTTATTAACAATTTATAAATGCATATTTGTTTACTAAAAGTAACAGTATATAATAACAGTAATAATTTGAATTGTTAAAATAAAGGCGAACGAAATTTAATTTTTTTGTAAAAATCAAACTTTTTAAAATAATTAATTTCTGCAGTTTTATCATAATAATGACATTATTTGATTTGAGAATATATTTTGATTCGTAAATAATATATTTAAAGCTCGTAAAGTTTTTCAATTTGTTTATAAGCCTAAAAAATGTTTAAAACTTTAAAAAAATTTCTAGGCTCTCCTAGTGAACCGATTTGAATTTTATAAAAAGCGTTTGGAAGTTTGAGCCTTTCTTTATCTGTAATACTACTTGCAACTACCTGAGGGCCTTATTTAGGGCCTACTATAAATTTGAAATGTTGCGATTTTTTTTCCAGTAGGCTGGATTGTAAAATATTATGCAAAACCTATCCGACCGATCTTAAAAAAATTTAGCACACGTTTTAAGCATATTAAAAAGTTTTTCTTGGCGGAATATGGAGCTTATAAATCAATTTTAAAAAGTCCAAAACATTTAAAGGATTAACTTAAGTTTTTTGTACTTTTTTTTCCAATTATTGCTATTTTTTCAACAATAAACAATAAATTTTCAATTTCTAGCTAACGACATATTATGTAAAATTGAATAACGAAACTTATAACTTCTTATAATTTTTTCTCTAGGATCAATATTTTCCGAATTATAAACGAAAATAGGAGCAAAAAAATGAGAAATTTTCAATTGTTTTCAGATTTTGTTTAATATTATTTTAATAATATTCAGATTTTGTTTAATTGTTTTTGTTTAATAAAAAATTGAGCACACGTTTTGCGACTGGCGCATATCGTGATTATCGATATTGGGCCCATCCTGAAGGGATTTCAGCAAAAAAATAGCTTCCTATGGAAAATGTCCATTATGGTTTGAATTTTTACAGATCCCGCCTAGTCTATTAAAGCAATATCAAAAACAACATGAAATAACAATTCACAAAAAGTAACAAATAATGTAATTACTTTTTAATCCATTAATCTCAAAAATATGATACTGATTCGAGCAAATAAACACAACACGTAACACATTTTCTTATTACCTATAGTACTGCTGTGATTATTAACCGATCTTATCTGACGAGTTGACATTGTATCGCCCAACGACGTTCTCATATCACTTAAAAGCATTTCTATCAATGAAGAAAAAAAGTTATTAAAAAATGTTGTACCTACAAAAAGTAACTAAAGACTGTAATTTATGTAACAAATTGTAAAAAAATACATATAACCCATCTTGATAAAAATATTAATATATATATATATATATATAATATATATATATATATATATATATATATATATATATATATAGGGGAGAAGATGGGAATGGCGCTCAGTGGGGAATGACGCTCACCACAGTTTACCTAGCCCAGTCGAGTTTACTACGTCCCGTTTGATGTCATTGCCTCCTCGGAGCCCTCCCGAACTAATCGGAAGCATAACTGTGTCGATATTTAGCATCGGTCGGCGGTTCTGACAGAAAACGTGAAATTTTGTGATTTTACTGTAATATTTTTGTCGCAAATATCTGAAGGTAAGTTGTAATAACGTTATTTTGTAGTATTATATCATATACTTATTCGATGAGATGTGTCTTGGATGTATTTTAGCATGAACACTATTTACTTATTGTAACCTAGAAAAATTGTGTCACCATATTTGTTGAAGCTTTCAGTTTGGGGCAATTCCGCTCAAGCTGATCGTGATTACCCCGTTAGAGAGCGGCATTGCCCCAACTGGTATTTGGCTGTTAATCTTAAAAATTATGATTAATTATACATAATTATTTGGTTTCAGATGGTTCGTAATAGAAAAAGGACAACCACTAAAGCACAATGGTCACCAGAAGTAATGATAGCTGCCATAGAAGCTGTGAGGTCCGGAAGAAAAATTAGGGAAGTGACACGTACTTTCCAAGTGCCATACAGTTCCCTTCGAGATAGACTTAAAGATAATTATTATGACCCTCGACTCGGAAGAAGGTCCACATTTTCTACAGAACAAGAAAGGTTAATTCAGAGTCATGTTTTAAAATTATCAAATCAATTTTACGGACTCACAGCTCTTGAATTCAGAAGGATTGCTTTTCAATTTGCGAAAGCAAATAACATAAAAAATATGTTTAATGAAGCAACTCAGTTAGCAGGGAAAGATTGGCTACATAGATTTTTAAAAAGAAATCCACAAATTAGCCTTAGAAAGCCAGAGGCAACTAGTCTTAACCGAGTTAAAGGGTTTTCTAAGGAAAACGTAGCAACATTTTTTCGTAACTTGGAAAATGTCATGGAACGCTATAAATTTGATCCTTCATCGATTTACAATATGGATGAGACAGGGATTAGTACGGTGCATAAGCCCATACAAATACTAGCACCCAGAGGACAAAAACAGGTAGGGATAGTGACAAGTGGAGAACGCGGCCAAACCACCACCGTTTGCTGTGCGTTTAGTGCTTCTGGAGCTTTTATTCCTCCCATGTTTATATTCGCAAGGAAAAGAATGACTCCTCAGCTACAAAAAAATGGACCCCCTGGATCAATATACAAATGCTCAAAATCTGGTTGGATCACGGAGGAATTGTTTTGTGAGTGGTTAAAACATTTTACAAAACATTCAAATGCTACAAACGACAATCCCGTTCTTTTGATTACCGACAATCACAGCAGCCATATTTCTCTCGATTGTTACAACTTCTGCCGTGAAAATGGAATAGTTCTACTCTCTATCCCTCCACATACCTCGCATCGACTACAGCCTTTGGATATTTGTTTTTACGGTCCTCTAAAAAAAGCTTACAATCGTGAATGCGATTTATTTATGAAATCAAAACCTTTAGAAAAAATAACAAATTATGAGATTGCTGAATTATTCAACAAGGCCTATGGAAAAGTTGCCTCGATTGAAAAGGCTATTAAAGGGTTTAGTTCTGCCGGTATATATCCTTTAAACCCCTTCATATTCAATGACGATTTTCCAGATTTTAATGATCAAGAAAATGACCATACTGTGGATAACACGACAAATACTGTCGCAGATGAACAGCAGCCTTCTACCAGTAGAACAATTTCCCATTCTGTAAATAGAATAACCAATGATTCATCCAATGATGCAAAATCCTCTAACAAAAATAGCGGAAATGCTGCTACCGATAAACTTCAAGCCCTTGAAACATCATTACATAATATCACACCTCTTCCTACAATACACAATAGAGCAAATAAAAGGCAAGTTGATAGAAAGAAACAGACATCTACAATACTAACATCAACACCAATGAAAGATTTTTTGGAAGAAAAACATAAGAAGAAGAATGAAAAAATTGAAAAATCGAAAACCACTAAAATCAAAGAGGAAAAAGTACGCAAAGTGACAAAGAAGGTCAAATTTGATGACAGTTCTAGTGAAGATTCAGATGTCAGCATGACTGGAATTACTGATGACAATGAACCTGACGAGATAGGAGATATGCAAGATACGGAAAATAATATCTGCTTCCTTTGTGGCGAATTCGGTCGAGATCGAGAGTTGTGGTTTCGTTGCGTAATTTGCGGAGGCTGGGCGCACGCAGAATGTAGCGGAGTTAATAAGGCTGAGGGTTATGTGTGCGACAACTGTCAGTGAAAGGATTTTTATTTTTCATTCTTAGTTTTAACTGCTATTTTAACTTTTTGACGCAATTTGTGAATTTTGTTTGGAGTTTAATGTTTATTTTATTCATTTGTTCAATAAATATTTTAATATTAGTTGCTGTTTAGTGTTAATCTATATTATAACTATCTGTAAATTAATGATCGCCATTACCCCATAGGTGTGGGTAATTGCGCTCAAGGCACTAATTATATTTTGTTGTTCTAACCAACAAACATAAATAATTTTAGTGCAGTTTTCTTAATCAAATGCTAGAAGAATAAGTATTCTTTACTCAAATTAATTTTCAAGGCTTTTTGAATGAAGTAAGTAAATAAAAAACAAGTTTTGGCTTAAGTGAGCGCAGTTCCCCCCTGCTCCCTTATATATATATATATATATATATATATATATATATATAATATATATATATATACATATATATATATATATATATATACATATAATATATATATATATATATCTATATATATATATATATATATATATATATATATATATATATAATATATATATATATATATATATATATCAAAATTTGAAGCTGATCCTTTTTATATTTTTCAATGCCTTCATTTTTGGTACATTTTTTATTATTATTGTCTTATTCTATCTACACAAAATTCTTAATTTCGTTTTTGAATTTTTGAATCAAAATCTCTCTCTCTTTCTCTCTCTCTCTCTCTCTCTCTCAACTTTTCTCTTTAATTATATTTCTCCTAATGGATTACTTAGACGATCAGACGTTTCTTATCCGAATCTGCGTAATGACTGACAACGCATAATTTTTCTTTTTCTAAAATTCTTGTTTCAAGTCTTTTCCATTCTTTTCTAAATTTAACTTGACTCTTTACTTCTTCTGTAATGATAAAATGATTCGTTTTGTTTTTCTCCAGCTGTTACCAGGTTTTACTCTTTTCCTTATTCCCTCTGGCTGATATTCAAATGCCTGTCTAAGTATATTATTTAATCCTTCGTCAACGCAATCTTTCAATTGACTTGGCATTATGTTTTCCTGCGTTCACTTATTCCTCCTCTCGATATTCGCTATTTTATTTGAATAGTAAATTTTCTAAATGAAATTGAATCGCGTGTTTATAAAAATTTATTTTATTTTTTATCTGGTTTCTGTTTCTGTTCCATTCATTCACTTCATTTGGTTTGTCGATCAATGATTAATTTATTGAATTTGATTCTAAAATTCATGAAGAAAGAGCACATTCAGGAGTTGAAATTTTACTGCACGATAAATACACGCAAAGCATCGAAGATATCGAATACATCAACGATAGATTTAAAAATCTTAATAAAAATACATAACATCACAACACACCTGATAAGCACATATGCCCCAGACACATCTTAGCCCACAGCAGAAACTGAAAATTTTTATCAGCAACTACAAAACACCGTAGATAACATGAATGCTAAACACAAAATTATCGTATTCGGGGATCTTAATATACGGATCGGAAACGATGTAATACCAGGTATAAAACAAATTAATGAAAACGGCGAAGCACTAATAGACTTTTGCGCTAGAAATAAAATGAGAATCAACAACACATACTTTACTCATAAAAATTTCATCTCATACTCATGGTACATAAAAATACACTTTTAACAATAACCGAGGCCAGCGATTAATTATAGAATTTATAATTACAAATCGAGTAATAACACCGTCGTCAGTACTTGATATCAGAACTCCAACATCTGCTAACCTGGGGACCGATCACAACCTTGTTTTATGCAGGATGCTACTAGAACGTTCGCAACGAAACAGAAAACCCCAAATGCTCATCGAAAAACACAATATAGAGTCGCTAGCAAAAGAGAGTACAAAACTCCTTTATGAGAACAGGATACCAGGAAACTAAAAGAGATCAAGTTACAACCAGAATGGGGAGTAGAAGAAGCTGCAAGCAGCAGGCAAACGCAGTCCAGGATGAAGAAGAACCTTATGGTTGAAGAACTTGCGAGGTTAGTATGCTGTTGATACAATCACGCTATTTAGGGTGGCAGTGACTAAAATTAAGATATCTATGATGATAACAAACGTTCTGAAAGGACATGGTACATGAATAAGAAGAAGCAGCAGAAAAGGCAAGTGGAAAGCGGAAAATTGACGATAAACCACACCAAACCGTGGTTTTGTCAACAAGTAAAAGAACTCTATGAATTAAAACGCAAATGCTACCTGAGATATAAAAGCACACAATTGGTAGAAGCTCTCGCAGAATATGTTCAAGTAAGAAACGAAGTTAACGCAAGAATAAAATCAATCAAAAGAGAACATTTAGCTAAATTCACCAGCGACATGCAGTATGACCTACATGGTACCCAAAAGAAAGTATGGAAAATGCTTCGGGGCAGAAAAAAATTAGTTAACAAGTTCTTGCAGACCAAGGGAATATATATAGAGGCATGGCAACAGCATTTTAAAGGGCTATATGATGCTGAAAAAACGCTGAATATAAACGAATACCAAGCAGATATAAGTGCTACAATTAATGACGAAGAGGCAGAAGTAAAGATCAAGAAGATAAAAAACAGAAAATTACGTGAAACATATGGTATACTCAATGAACTGAAATATGGAGGCCCTGAACTTGCAAGTAATCTGTCACAACTATTTAACAAAATTGTAAACGACACAGAAACACCAAAGGAATGGCATGAGAGCATTACAATCTCCATATATAAAAAAGAACAAAAAAACTTGCCCACAAAACTACAGAACTAAGAACAACAAGGTTTTACAAGAGGGCGGTCTATTCATAACAGATGCATTATTTATAATAAAACAAATAAAATAAAAAGCTATAGAGTTCGGCAGGCCAGCGTATATTTGCTTCATTGATCTGACGAAGGCGTATGACAGGGTTCGCCTGGGAGGCGTTTTAAATATATTAATAGAAAATAAAACACCTACCAATATAACAAAAATAGTCTATAACCTAAATAACAACAACGTAACCAAAGTTAGAGCAGGAGACCAATTCATTTAAAATATTCTAACACCGGGAGAAATTAGACAAGGCGACAGGTTAAACCCCTTCTTGTTTAACCTACTCATGAGAAAAATTATAAACAAAGTAACATCTCTTAATCTCGGATACAGAATGGGCAACAAAAAAATTGATATGGTGTGTTACGCAGATGATGCAGCAATTATTGATAGATCAGAAGATGATCTTCAGAGACTGCTCTTTCAGTTCTTTCAAATAAGCCGCCAACTAAATACGATCATTTCTACTAACAAAACTAAATGTATAACAATAGCAAAAGACCCGCTCAGATGTAAGTTAGTTGTTGAAAACAACCCCCATAGAACAAGTGATGCATTTCAGATATCTGGGCATAGATATATCAAGCAAACAAGACCCAGTAAAGGACCTAAGGAGTCAGATCAACAAAGTATCCGCATTGTCAGGAGGTCTGCGGGAGATAGTTTGGTGAAATCCGTATATGCGCACAGATAGTAAAATTAGAATCTACAAAACTTGCATACGTTGGACCATGACATATAGTACAGAAGTGCGCAAAGATACCAACAAAACGAAATAGATGCTAAGGGTTGTCGAAATGAAAACCCTAAGAATAATAGTGGGCAAAACAAGAAGAGGCAGGATAATAAATACAAACGTAAGGGTGCGTTCATTACAGAGACCATCGCAGCGTATCCTCGCCAAGAGCATAGCACTGACAGTGAACGCTCGCATTTAAAATAATTCATTTATTTTACCCAAAATCGATAATATGGTACTATCCCATGGTCAGAGCGAGGTTCGGCACCTCTTTATGAATGCACACTTAGAGATCAGTGCAAAATTCAAGATATTGTAAGATAGGGAAGGCAGCGTAAGAGAATGTGGTACAATCATGTAAGAAGAATGGACGAGACTCCCAAAAATTGCCCTAGAAAACAACCCGCCTGGTTCAAGACCTCCCGGAAGACCACCTAAAAAATGGGGAGTTAGTTGGCAATCTGCCTCCCAGGAAATTTCAGGCAGCTTCAGAATTAAACAAATCGAAAGATTTCCAAGAAGTAGAAGAAGGAGAAGAAGATTTTGAAATTTTTTTTCAGTTCTTGTTTATGCTTGGTAAAGTAGCAATTTTTCTATACTTTCAATACTTTGATGTTAACGTAATCACTTAAAAATATTCGATATATTTAAACTATCTTAATTTGTTTTTATTTTGCATAGCATACATTTTCCTTGAACATTTTCCATTTGTATCAAGTCTTTTTTATTAGGCAGTCATTTTTCTGTATGTTTCTTGTTTTCGTTTCACTTTCTTCTTTATTTTTCATTTTTTTTTTGTTTATTGGCAATGTTTGTTACATTTTCCTGTATATGTAATACTTTTACTAAAAATAATAAGAATTAGTTATTACACTTACCGCATTCAGACCAAGGTAATGTACTTGAGAAACTACTGAAAATATAAAACAACGTCCATGCTATAATCACACAATAATAAACATCCAAGAGAAACACTATGGTCATCGTTGCATATCCTACGCCTTTCAAAATAGGACACAGCTGACCAACAAAGGTCATTCCTCCAGATCCGAGGTACTGTCCAATGGCGACTTCTTGAAAGAAGAGCGGAATTCCACATATAAACATCGCTATGTGGTAGGTGATTAAAAATGTTCCTGTAAGTAATTAATAAAAAATAAATAAATAATACAAAAAATTTGGCAATTAGAGAGTAGATCAGGAAATATTTTGTTTAAGTTTTATTGGTGGAAACAGTTTGAAATGTGGATGTCTTATAACCTATATTCTAAAAAATATGGAGGAGAAGACTCGACTGAAGAACATAAAAATTTAACAACTTTCCTCTTTTTCCTCGATATAAGCAATCCAGCTTTTTCAGTGGAAGAGCTCTATGGAAGATTGTTACTAGATTTCTTGCACGATCGGCCAGTTTAGTGGTTTATATACCTCATTATACTTATCTTCATTTGTATACGTAATGTGTCTCATAACTGTTTTATATATTTTTATTTTTGGGTTAATAGATACGAATTTTGACTTTATAATATTCTGTAGACTGTAGAAGCAAGAACTCAAGCAAGGCTTCAGTTGTTTTCATGTACAGCTGGTTTCTAAAACAGCTGATACGACTCACAAAGCGTATTTTGTAGAAAATTTGGTATTTTGAAGGATTAATACTTATTATTTACATACTGGTTGGTCAGATAGCCAAGCAGGCTGGGCGACCAGTTCCTCACTAGCTTCACTGCTAGTGGTTCAGAGGAAGTGAGTTCGATCCCCAGCTCGGTGTACAGAAAACAAAAAGGCTAACGCAACAGTTTAAAATTCTAAAAATGAATATGCGGCTTAGACTAGAATATGCTGGCGTCTGATCGGCCTATAGTGGAGCAGTACGGCAACAGGTAAGGGCTTGCGGCCTTTTGTTGCAATTTTGTTGCAACTAGAGCATTAAGCTCTACAGTATATCACCACCAAACAAACAAAGTCTTAGAATATTTTATTTTAACTATTTGTGAAATCTGTTTACGAGTGAATTAAAAAGAATTTTTCGTCACACCTGCCTCAATATATTTTAATCACCGTAGTACCAACATCACACAGATTATAAATGAAAAATCAAAATGAAAGTGAAGGGTAAAATAGCGAATGTGCATAGGTTCAGAACTCACCAATCTCCAAACAAAAAAATGTTTCGTCAGATAGAAAAATCAAAAAGAATTTTGGTAAAACTGACAAACTTCACTTTGACAGATTTTTAGGGAAAAAGATTTTTTTAATAAAATTTTAGCGTTTTAATGTTTTATTTATTTTTTTTGTTATCTATATTTATTTGTACATTAGCTTTAGTCATTTACAAAATTTACCTAATTATTTCATTAAATTTAAAGTAATTAACAATTTATGTTTTGAGATATCTGGTTTTGCTTCAAACACTTGGAGATTGCCGATTTTACAACAGAAAAAAACAATAAATAATGTTTTCTAGCACACTAATTCTGATATTATTGAATGGCTTCCAATTCAATAATATCAGGATTAATCATCGTGATATCATTTTCAGCCTTACAAACACTTTTTGGTTTTCCGCACTTCGATAGTGCGGCATATATTTAATGCATTTTTTATCTTGGTTTAAATAATTCGTTTAATAATTCGTCGCCTAGATGCAGAAGTAGTCTATGTAGATTTTTGCCCAATTTGATATTTTAGGTCCATTTAAAAGTAAAAGCATCATTACATTGGATGCAGAAGTATTGTATGTCCATCTTTACAACAAGTGCTCACTGCTCATATCGATCAAACCTCGAACTAGCCTATGTTCAGTTCCGTTGTTAGTTTTCAGGCAGAATAAGTCTATGTAAGAGCATCGCAGTGAACCGATCGTATCTCCGTCGTTTAGCCGGACATAGACTAGTTCTGCATGAGTTTACCGTGAAGATAGACTAGTTCTGCATTAATTTACGTATAGATATTGAGGACATAGGCTTATTCGAGATTTAAAATAGCTTCGATAACGAGGAAAATGAACCCACAGTTGTTTTATTGGCTAAGGAACCTGATCAAGAAGTCTCAATAAGACAGTCACGCAAAAGAAAAAGAAATCCGATTTCCTGGAGAAGAAATATAATAAAGACATCTCGAAATAGCGGAAAGGAATACAACTCTTGGAAAAATAAACTTCCCGCAAAATGAAAGATCCATGTGATTGAAGAATGAAATGTAGCGAGAAGATTTCTGAAGAAGAAAGGCAATTTATATTTGATCGTTACTGGAATCTTGGAGACATCAACAGACAACGAGATTTCGTTTCAAAATTGGCGCAAGGAAAAAATAAAGAAAAAACAAAAATTAACCGAAAGAATATAAATATTGTTTTAGAGAAAAATGAAGAATCGCCTTCTCCAAACCAACATAGTAGAAGAACATTCACGTTTGATTATTCTTTTATAAAGGGCAACGTCAAAGTACCTGTGTGTAAGATTTTCTTTTTAAATACTTTTTGTATAAGTAGGTTGTTAAAAATGTACTTAATAAAACTTGTTCTACTGGTACGATTTCCGAAGACATAAGAGAAAATACCTGCAAAAACTCCTTACTCAACGAATCTGTCAAAGAATCCGTTCGAGAACATTTAAATTCCTTTCCATCTCTTAACATTTCCAAAACGTATTATTTATATAAGGAATACTGTTCCGATAGGGACATTATTGAAGTAGCAACGGGAAGTACATACAGGGCTGTATTTAATTTAGATTTTAATATGTCATTGTTTCAGCCAAAGGAAAGACTTGTGCGATATTTGTCATGGATTCGAACAATCGTTTACTGAAGAGAAATTAGCAGCTGAAGAAATGTATCAACTTCACTTGAAAAACAAGAATTTAGCCAAGAAATTTAAGGTTGCAGAAAAAAATAACTGAGGAGAATCAACAGATTTGTTGTGCAGTTTTAGATTTACAACTACTTCAGGTATAAAAGTGGGAAGTTGGATTAACGTATTATAAGCTAAAATTATCAACTTCTAACTTTACTATTTTCAATCTGGGTAAAAAGGAATGCAATTGTTATATGTAGTAAGAAAACCAAAGGCAAGAGAGGCTCTTGTAAAATAAGTAGTTGCCTTTTGAATTTTATAAAGAATAATATTGTACAAGGTACGAATGAGTTTTCACTTTTTTCTGACAATTGTGCCGGACAAAAAAGAAATAAATACTTATTTTCATTGTACAATTACATTTCTCAAATATATAAGGTAACAATTTGCCATAGCATTCTGGAACGAGGGCACACACAAAATAAGGGGGAATAGTGTGATTGAAAGAGCATCACGTAATATTCCAGTCTATTCTCCTCATCAATTGTACACAATTGTCAGAACTGCAAAGAGGAACAACCCGTATAAAGTCGTTGAATTAGATAAAGAAAATATATTTGATTTAAAAGAACTTCTAGGACAAACATCCATTAATTGGGACAAGGATGAATCTAATGAGAAAGTTCACTGGAACAAATTAAGAATTCTACAAACCCGGCCAGACTATCCAAATATGTGTTTTTTAAATACAATTTTAAAGACATTGAATTAAAAAAAATAATTTGGTCAAAAAGGGTACAAAGACACTTCAAATTAATATAGAAAATATTGAACTGAAGCCAAACTATACGAGGCAAATTCCATTAACGAAAAAGAAATACGACCATTTGCAATTTCTTTGCCAGAAAACAATTATTTCATGTCAATATCATGACTTGTTTAAAAACATACCTTATGACGAAAAGAGAATAGGGGAAGATTCAGAAAATCATGTTTAAATATTCATAATTGTTTAATTTCAGTTCCTAATTTTAAGTTAAATTTATTTGTTTTATTTTCATTTTTGTTCCATCTGTTCGATTTTTTAAGTAGTAATAATATTTTCTGCCTTTTTTAAAAAAAAAAACACGGCCCAGTTGTTAATAATTTCAGAAACTGATTTGTTAAACCTTAAAGCCGAACTATACGATTTATGAGTAAGTACACTGTTATTGCTAAAATAATTTATACCTATACCTACCACATGATTAGATTATTAATATTATGGATTGATCAGAACTAGCCTAAGTAGTTCCATGTAAGTATATTCTATGTCCAAATTTGGATATAGACTATATCGGTTGAGACTACTACTATATGTCCATCTTTTTTTAGAACGTGGCTTTTATCATGAAAGCAATGAACTGTAGGAAAAGTAGCTTTTTAAACACTGTTATGCAATTTTCTGATAAAAGAATTTTATAATATTTTGAGACAAAAACAAAAAAAAATGCTCTCCAGTGCCTTTAACACCCTATAGGCTTCTTCTTTCCAATTAGCAACTTTAAAATCTTTTCCCATACGAATTACTTTGCCAAATTGACTGAATACCTCATTGTATTGCTCTGGCCTGGTATTAACTTCTATTTTTTCAACATTACCAAGGTAACCAAAAACCATCTAGCGCATGTGGCGACTATAACGCAATTTTTATTTTAACCAAAGCATCAATCGGAGACCAATCTTAAAGTTTTAATGCCTTCCGAATTTGTTTCATTAAGTCGATGAAATAAAGTGGAACTTACTTCACTGGATCCTTTATGAAAATCAATTTCGGTTCATGTATACATGAAAGTTTTTCTTTACTTTGCTTATTTTTTGACGATACTTGTACAAAGTACAAGTACTTGTAAAGTACTTGTACTTTGCCTTATAGCAAAGGTTATAAATATACAATTGTCGGCTATAGTAAGCGTTTTGATCCGGGACCTTTGGCATTAGGTACTTGATTTTTTTGACAGTCAAAGCTTATTGTAATTAGATCACCTTTAGTCTCTCGTAGTAGTGACTAAAAAGCCTTTTCTTTTAGTATATGAACGTGTTTGTTGATAAAAAGGTATTTCATTTCATAACTCCAAGGTGAAACATTTGTTAAATATATTTTGAAAATAATAATCTTTAAGATTGTCTGTTACCCTCGTTATTATACATCCTTTTCATTTTTCTTATATTTAACTCAGATAGAAGAAACCTACTTACTGTTTTAGATAAACAAGACAAAGTAGATAACCTACAAAAAACAGTTAAAAACAGGCTTACCGCAGTTCTTTAGCAACATTCGTTTTCCATTTTTGTTTTTGTTTAAATTCTCTTACAAGCTCTTGTTGGTGTAACTGGATTAGTTTTAGTCTCCATTTGAAATTTAATATACACAGAAGTATAGCAATAAATTTAATAAATACGGACTAATTCTTCTATTAATTTTTATTTTTGCTGATGATACCAGTATTACCTGGAGGAACTCTAATATTGCCACGGTCCGACTCTAATTTACTCTCTTTTAACGTGGATAAGAGAGTAGGATTATCCTATACAGTAGTTTTTCAAACTTTGCTTCTTAATAACACCCAGATCAGAATCGTTGATTTTGTAAAATTTCTTCGTATTTTTATAGACAGCAACCTTAAATAGTCCCTTCATATCGATTTGTTAAGTAAAAAGCTAGCCTTGGTCTGCTATGTAATAAGATCTGTTTCGAAGGAAATCAATTTAACATCTTCCAAAATAACACTTTTCTTTGTTCAGGCCTCATCATCGATATGGCTTTCCTTTTTGGGGTTCTAGTACAGCTGACCAATCTGATGTTATTTTTAAATTACAAAAAAGAGCAAGACGATATATGTTTGGCCTTAGTAGAATAGCACATTGTAGAAGGTACTTAAAAAATCACGGAATTTTAACTCTTTCCTTTCTATATATTTTAGAAACTGTTTGCTTAATTCGTAAAGACCTACATGTTGTTTCAGCAAGACCTAATCATGACAACTCCACCAGAAATTCAAGCTTTAATGTGTATTTACCGATACCATCCACTAAGTTATTGAAGAAATAATTATATTCGGCAAAAAAATTATAAAACCGTCTTCCTTTACAACTTAAATCTATTTCAATTCCATTCTATTCTGTAATAAAATTTTAATAACACTCACAGGCGTTGCAATGTCATGAAAGGCTGAAGCCTGTACACGCTGTGATCGGTCAAAACGGAGATTGCTGGTGTTGCTATTCGCGAACCGATGGAGATTGCTGTTTTTGCTACTTACCCTATTTTTTCACGTTAAATATGCACAAGATATTAAGGGTTTTGTTACACAATATATTGAACACAAAGATATAGATGGCAACAATAACTCAATTTGGGGAAAATATGGAGATTGCTGGTTTTGCTTCTATACCATTCAAAAGTCGTGCTAAATTTTGAAATATATAAAATATATAATTTTAACATTATATTTTCAGAAAAATTCTTAAGATGGACTTGCATTAATTAAATACCAACTAAGATATACAATAGGCCAATTGGCTAAGAATTTCCGATTTATAAGAGACACCTTCCAAAAAAAACGACAACGGAACTTCCTCTTCATGTACCATATCCTTTAAGAACGTTGGTCACCATCATAGCTATCTTAATTTTATTCACTGCCACCCTAAACAGCATGCTTGTATCAACACCATGCCAATCTTGCAAGTTCTTCAACCATGAGGTGCTTCTTCGTCCTGGACTGCGTTTGCCTACTATTTTTCCTTGCATGATATTTTGTAGCAACCTATATTTGGGACCTCTCATTACATGTCCGAAATATTGCAGCTTTCTCTGCTTGATGCTTTTTATGATCTCAGAAGTCTTGCTAAGACGTTCTAGTATTGTGGAGTTTCGAATCTTCTCCACCCAGGAATCTTTTAAAGTTCTTCTATAGCACCGCATTTCGAAAGCCTCAAGGCGATTTAGATCGATTTTATTTACAGTCCAGGACTCGACACCATAAAGTAAAATCGAGAACACGTAGAAGCGAAGTATGCGGATCCTCAATGCCAATTTTAGGTCTCTGTTACATAACACCTTGGACATCCTTCTAAAAGCAGCTCTAGCCTGCTCTATCCTAGATCTAATTTCGCCGTGACTTTCTGAGTTACAATTTAATTGCTGTCCAAGGTAAACGATTTTATCAACTTGCTCAAGTTTTTTATTATTTATATATATACGGTTTTAAATGTTCTTGTTGACTTATTACGAGTATTTTGGTTTTCCGTATTTCCGTTCAGATCCAGACCTGCCTTCCTATAACTCCCAACGACATTATCAAGTAGTGTTTGCAGATCTTTTTGACCAAAAGCTAGGAGTACTATATCGTCCGCCTATCGCAAATTATATTGATGACTTCACCGTTCACAAGTATTCCTTCTTGTTTTTTAGAAAGTGCTTTTCTGAAAATTCTTTAAGAGTAAACGTTAAAAAGCAGAGGTGACAAAAGGCACTACTCCTCTTTTAATATTGAGAGCCTGTGATTCCACACCATCTACTAAAACTGATGTTGTTTTATTCCAATATAAATGTCTTCTAGAGCTTCGATTAATATAAAGTGCTTAACACGGTCAAATGCATTTTGGAAGTCAATAAAACAACAATATATGTCTACAGAAATATCTCGACATCTTTAAGCAAGTACATTCATTCCAAACAGTACCTCTTTCGTTCCAAACCCGTTATGGAAACCAAATTGAGTGTCATCAAGGTATTCCTCACATTTATTGTAGATACGACCGTGTATTACCTTCGGAAAAATTTTCAATAATTGGTTTAACAAACTAATGGTTCTATAATTAGCACAGATTTTTGCTATTTTCGGGATCGGGAATATCGGGAGGTCAACTACTCCTATCTTTTTTGGTTCTAATAGGTTCATGACGTAATTTTCCCATTCTGTAAGTTTGTCCTCTACTTTAAATATTACTATACTACGTTCCTCCTGTAGCAATGCAGTTTGCTTCTTATTCAAGATACTAGTCGCTTCTTTCACTTTTTTGTACATGTTAATCGTGTCGTATCTGTTTTCAAGTTCTTCGGTGTCATGACACTGTTTGGCTAGATGTTGGCTCTTTGCTTCCTGTATTTTACGTCGAATTTCCTTTTGTATTCTGTTGTAAAGTGTTTCGTTGTTTTTCGCTAGTCGCCGTTGTTCCATCGAATCCGCCTTGTAAATTTCTTACACAGATTTCTTTTACTGTTGTTACGATTTTATTTAAGCCCTCATCGACGTTTTCACCAATATTTTCCCAAATTACTTTCTCGTTTTGTAATTGGGCTGTATCAATATTTTTGCGAGACTTCTTTCTGATTACCTTTTTTAATTTTAATTGGGTTACAGCTACTATAAGATTGTGATCAGACCCAATGTCAGTACCTGGATAAATTTTAACTGATTTGCTGCAGTTTCTAAATCCATGTTTTATTAGAATGAAGTCGATCTGACTCCTAATAATTTTGTCCTTTAATTCTGCATTTGACTTCCAGGTATAGAGTCTTCTCGGTGGTAGTTTAAAGTGAGTATACGACATAATTAAATTGTGTTCTTGACCGAACTGAACAAGTCGATCTCCACGTTCATAACGGGACTATCGTCTGAAATAAGACGAAAACCAATGCAATGCTGATAAATACCAGAACGTCCTTTATAATTTTCTACTTTACTTTACTTTATGCTTACAAAAAATGTACAATTAACTACCAGATACTATCAATAGTATTTTAGTAAAATATCTCTAGTGTGTTAACTTAGCTTGTTTTTATTTTTCAAAAGTTGGATCACTTATTTTACACTCTATAAATAAAAATAAATAGGCCATGGTAATTTAATTCTACGGTCTTTGTTTCCTTACCTCCTCCATTCTTATAACACAGATACGGAAATCTCCACACATTCCCTAAACCTACGGATAAACTAATGCACGACATCAAAAAATCCAATTTGTTGCCCCAGCCGCCTCTCTCTTCTTCCTCATTCCGATCGGGATTTTTTTCTTCCGGTTTCCCACTAAGAATAAATGGCTTCTTTTCCGGCGGGGCTGTGATTTGCATGTGATCGTCCCAAACGTAGACTTTGTTGGACATTGCGTCTGGAAAACAGAAGACATTAGGTGAGAAAGCTATTTATCTTTGTTTAATACGAGTGGTATGTACATTTAACATTTTTAATGCGGAAAAAAGGATTTGTATAAATTAGTATAACAATTCACATTTCTTTATTTTCATTAGCTTATAAAGATGCTTATAAAACTCTTTATGTCATAAATTTACAACAAAAAAATAAAAAAGAAATTTCCTTTAAATTATTTTATCTAAGAATAAAACGGGCGTAGGAAATTTCGACACTAAGCAGGTAGCGACTAAAATTTAATGGCAATTTTCGACACCAGCCCCAATTCCCGTTTTTATCTTACAGGTATATTCGACACCAACTAAATATAGCTGCGACATAAATAAAATACCACAATTAATTAATTTATTTATTTTAATAAAAGTAATGTGCATTTTATTTCTTTATAACTGTAATAATATCTAAATATAATACAACTAGTACCTAATTTTTGTACATTTTACCGTTAATATACTTGTATACAATGATTTATTTGCTATTATAGGAATGATAAGATACAGCTTTTATAAAATCTAACCTACGTATTTGTTGGGATCGTAGTTTATCCATCATTTTCTCCAAGAATGCCAATTTAGCCTTAACAGTAGTATCTTTGATTTTTGCTGGTATATGTAAACTATTTATTTTGACATAAGTGTCTACTTGAAATTCTTTTAACTTTTCAATAAAAATAAAAATAGAAGGATGTGTTGAATAAAAAGAAGAATTAAATCTCGAATTAAAGGATTCACAGGCATTTGTGGTCCTCGCAATAGACAGATTCTGATTAGACCATATATGTGTGGTGCAAATAGAGCGCTATCGAAAATGTAATTTTCCAGTATATATTCTGCATATATATCAAGTGTTGCGTTTATAGGTTTATATGACATTAAATCATAAAGAAAGCATTCTTCAACTTCGGCTGGATTTAAATAAGTTTAACCAAACGTATGTCTTAACCATTTTCCAATTTCTGAATTTGTATCCTTATATTCTTGTAGCAAACCCAAAGATTGAATTTTTTTAAACCAGTTTTGGTGTAAGTGAAAACGGCATCCACTAATTTTTGCATTGGGCTACATATACATTAAGCACAGTGAATTGCTTTTTCAAAGTCCACAAATATTTCAGTTGGCTCTAATGATAATTGAAATGTTTCAAAAATCTTAGACCTTAATAAAGAAAATAAATTTTTGTATGTCATTGACAATTTGTCCTTTAACAAACAGTATGCTAAAGGAACATAATGTCCATTTTCCAAGCCATGTATAGTAAATAATTGTAGAAAATATTTGGTACTGTATGCAAATGTACCATCCATATACAAAGTTTTTAATTTACACAACAAACGAATATTTGTCTCGCATGAAAATACAATTACATTTAATTCAGGATGATTTAAAAACAAAAAACTTTCATTGCGACAGGTTTTAGGAGAATAATTACTAATCGCGTTATGGACTTCTGATATGCTTCTTGGTAACGGACCTGGTAACAGTTTACGACGACAATTGTAAATGTTCTTTTTTATGCTAGCTATGTCAGAAACCGTCAGCAAATTGGCATCACACTCAGCAACAGCAGTTCTTGTAATTTTGGCAGGCTTTTCCGATATGTCCTCTTGGGCTTTTCTTTTACATGCATTGGTTACCATCTTTACTTCAAGCTTTTTTGGATCGGCTTCATGATTATGTACCAAATCACTTCTTGTGATGGTGAGGTCCTCACAGCCTATTGTAAACACTTTTGAGGAACACTTAGTATTTCTTTGGATGCAGCGCCAAAATATCTCGCCGCTTTTTAACACTTTCTGTTTCGAGGACGAATGATGCTCCACCACTAATAAATCTCGACCACGGGAACTTTTTATCAAACTCATTTTTTAAATATCCGTATACGTGCACAAGTCAACGTCAAACAAGAAATAAATTACAACTGAAATAATTTAGTCACAAGTACACAAGTGCCACGCCCCCCGCCGTGACAATAAATATTGGGAAAACCCGCTTGTCCTGCTTGGGTGCAAATGTCCATCGCCGCTAATTACCTACCTACCTGCTTTACGCCGCGGTGTCGAAATTTCCTATAATAAAATTTGACCCTTCGATTATCCCAGGTACAAAGACAATTTGGTGTCGAAAGTTCGCCCGCCGAATAAAACACGGAAAATTTTTGTTTTGTACATTTCCACCAAATTTATTACAATTTATGTTCACTATAGCTGTTTGGACACAGTACCTTTTTCAAGTGATGTATTTTTAATATGCGTCTACACATTATACTCCAGTAGTCAGAGACGAAAATGCCAGTGAACGTCTAAAAATTATAGGAACAAGCTAAATTTGGCTAAACGTATTAATTTTAGAACATAAGCATTTTTCATATTGTGTACGCATTTTTTATGTAGAATAAACCGTTGTCTTAGAAACAACGCTTGAAGGGACCGTCGCTCGCGTAACTGACATGCAAAATCGACGCGTCGATTTTGCATGTCAGTTACGCGAGCGTAATAAATGTTCAATAAAATTTGAATCAGCTCGACGGTAAAAATTCGATACCTTTTGATTCAAGTGACCTATCGACAAAAATCAAGATGTGTTTTAAAGGTAAGGAGTTCAGCTTGATAAAAGCAACTCAAATCCTCGTAGACACATCGTCTCAGGACCAGCAACTTCATGTGAAGTCATACGTCGCCATGTTACCAAATTCACTGGTAACTTTAACATCCTAATACATATTTAATATCATATAATGTAAACCAAATTTAAACAGATAATTTTTAACGGGGTTTTACCCATATATTTAGTGGCTCAAGATATGTACACCTAGACACTACTGATGGAATATGGTTTCCGAAAACGTTTTGTGATACAGCCCGATTGAGTTTTTTAATTATATACTTTTTATAAAGGATTTTTAATAAAACTTTTTGTGATACATGGTATACAGCCGACTACAGGAACTTCGATTCCTTGTGGACGATATTTTTTTATCAGAGTGACTCACCGAGAAACATCAAAATGCATTTTAAAGGTAAAGAGTGCAGATTTTGTATGCAATTTTTGCAATATGCCAAAAATAAAATTTGTTTCTATAAAGGTGTTTTTGCGATTTCTTACGATTCTCGTAAAATCAATAAAATTTATTATTTTCTTTGACCAGTCATAGTAAAATTTCCATTGTTGGAGCCCATTCTTTAAAACCTATAACCTGAAAACACGATTTTTATTTTTTGCAACAAATATGAGGCATTTGAAATATGATTAAAAATGCAGAATTTTAACTTTTACATTACAAACGATCATACGTCACAAAGAAATAGCTCCAAGAAGACGGTTTTGGATTTAGTTAATAGCAAAAGTTAAGTACTTTTGAAAAACGTACTAGTGTAATCAAAAAACAGCAGTTTTAAACGTTTTAAATCGTTTGTAATGTGAAAGTTTAAATTAAGCGTTTTTAAGCATATTTCAAATGGCTCAAATTTGTTGCAAAAACTCAGAAGTAAAATTTCATGCTAAAGATTTTGAAGATTAGGTTCTAGTTATGTAAATTCCATAGTGGCCCGTCAATGAAGGGAAAACATTGTATTGATCTAATGAGAATCATAACAAATGGCAAAAATCGCGCGACATTTATTTATTTAACTCCTTTATAAAAACTAAGTTTAGTTGCAGCAAAATACAAAAATTGCATTCAAATTCTGCATTCGTTACCTTTAAAACGCATCCTATTTTTTGTCGATTGGACACTCGGATCAAAAGATATTGAATTTTAACCGTCGAGTTGATACAAGGCGACAGTTTAAGCCCCTTCTTGTTTAATCTTCTCATGGGCAAAATTATCAACAAAGTAACATCTCTTAATCTCGGATATAGAATGGGCAACAAAAGAATTGGTATGGTGTGTTACGCAGACGATGCAGCAATTATTGCCGAATCAGAAGATGATCTCCAAAGGCAGCTCTTTCAGTTCTTTCAAACAAGCCGACTACTAAATATGAACATCTCTACCAACAAAACTAAATGTATGACAATAGCAAAAGATCCGCTCAGATGTAAGTTAGTGGTTGAGGACAACCCCATAGAACAGGTGATGCAATTCAGATACCTGGGCATAGATATATCAAGCACCCACGACCCAGTAAAGGACCTGAGGAGTCAAATCAACAAAGCATCTGCACTGTCAGGATGTCTGCGGGAGATAGTCTGGTCAAATCCGTATATGCGCACAGATAGTAAAATTAGAATCTATAAGACTTGCATACGACCGATCATGACATATGGCATAGAAGTGCGCGAAGATACCAACAAAACGAAACAGATGCTAAGGGTTGCCGAAATGAAAACCCTAAGAACAATAATGGGGAAAACAAGAAGAGACAGAGTGAGAAATACAAACATTAGAGAGCAGTGCAAAATTCAAGATATTGTAAGATGGGGAAGGCAGCGCAAGAGGATGTGGTACAACCATGTAAGACGAATGGATGAGAATAGACTCCCAAAAATTGCCCTAGAAAACAATCCGCCCGGTTCAAGACCCCCCGGAAGACCACCTAAAAGATGGAGGGATAGTTGGCAATCTACCTCCCAAGAAATTAACCAGAGGCAGCTTCAGAATTAAACAGATCGAAAGATCTACAAAAAGTAGAAGAAGAAGAAGAAGAGTTGATACAAATTTTATTAAACATTGATTTCGCTCGCGTAACTGACATTCAAACATTTCTGATCACTTTAATTGTTGTTTCTGAGAGAACTGTTCATTCTACACAAAAAATGGTAATAAAAGTTTTTGTTCAAATTATCTTAGCTACATTATTTATTTAAAATATTTTTTACTGTGGTGTACATATTCTTGATAAATTGATTTTTTTTCTGTTTTCCCCCTTAGCGTGGGAGTTTTAAAGGAAAACCCGGGTTTAAAAAAGTGGTTAACTCTTTTGCATATTTTTTAGCGTCCCAGCTTTAAAATTCAGCTTGTTCGTATGATTTTTCAAGGTTCAGTGGCATTTTCGTCTCTGACGACTGGAGTAAAACTATGTGTTCGACTTTTAATATACGTTCATTTAAAGCATTCTTGTTTGTAGTACAGCTGGCTATCTTCGTTTTAGGGAGTATAGAAATGCCAGCCTTAGATATCTGATCCTTATTTATACCACTGTATAGATGTCAAAAATGGGGGATGGATAAAAGGAAAGATATACAAGAGTATGTGAGATCTGCGTTGGTACACGGCGGTGAAGTAGGTGAAATGAAAATGTTACGGTGGATATTGGGTAAGACTAGAAGGGACAGGATCAGGAACGACTTAATTGGGGAAAGAGCCATGGTAGCTACAGTTTCAAAAATTATTTAAGAACAAATACTACAATGGTTTGGTCACATCAGATGTAGAGATGGAAACTATGCGGTACAAAGAAAGGTTTAGATTAAGAAGACACAATGAATAGACATGACTGGCAAAGAAGATTAAATAACAGCGACTCGCTGAAGAAAATAGAAAACGCTGAGGAAGAAGAAAATAGATGTATTTACTCAATGTCTGTTCATTTCTCCTGCCTTATTTTTTTATTTGCCAAACGTTCTAGCTTATCTATAAACTCCTTCTGTTTGGTACTTAGTCCTTTTATACTCCAGGTGCCAAAATTTATAATCCTTTCTAATTTGCCAAGTCGTCTTCTATTAAGTTTATTTAGTATTCCTTCTTTACTAAAAATTTTAACGTATAACTTTTTTATAACAGCAGGGGTGCTGGCCCTACGTCTTAACACAAAAATTTGTAGGACCACGTTTACCACAACTTAGCCGATTTGTTACAATTTTATGGTACCGGAAACTCGTCATCACCCCCTCCCGTTAGCTACGTAGCGTACACCCATTGTACGTCACGCATTCCCCAGAGGTCACGAACGTGGACGTGGGAGTAAGATTTATTATTATGTTCTGTTAAAAGATCTACGAGAATTTCTCAGAGATTGAGCATAGCAAAGACTTCGGCAATATTTGCTGTCTTAAGACTCAAACGCCAACCATTTAACCTCCAAATGATCCTTGAACATAATAGAATCCCAAGTAGCTGGATATAATGTATAGCGTACCAATAATGGTTAAAAAAATAGATGAGCAGGAACTCTTTTATGTATAGAAACGATTCATAGTTTTATTTTCTAACGAAACAAATAATTTCACAACTAATTTAATACAAATATCAAAGACATTTACAGATATAACTTAATTAAAACCATTACTATTAAGAGTATCATTATAAAGAGATGATAATAGAAGTGCGCAAAAGAAAATGACATAAAATGTAAAATGATGATGTCAAAGTACGATATATATAAAAAAAACTAAACTGTACAAGACCAAATTACACCACAGAATAAAGTACATTGAAGAAACAAAGGATAAAACAATTAGAAAAACTACTAATAATGGTAACTGGTAACAACGAAGAAAAAATACTAAAAAAATAAAAAACAGAACTTTATATCCTAAGAAAAGAAAAGCAAAAAAGAAAAAAAAAAGTGCAAAAATCCAGCTAACATATTGGTACAAAAATAAAAAATAGAATAGAATAAACATATTGATGACAAAATCGCCAATAGAAGTAAAAAGCATTAGGCCACGTAAAAATGATAGTATGACTATTTCATAGATGCCTAAGGTACTTTGTCTATTAAAAAAAGGAAAAGAATTTCATAACTAACACAATTTAAGCTCGTATTACTAGTAAAAATCGTGCCTACTATGGCAATAAAAGGCTGATTAAATTGGCAAGAAAACTGAAACAAGAATAGAAAAATAGATTTATAGTATCCCATAAAAGCGAGAACAGGAAAATTGCAAAAATTAAAAAATTTAGATTAACTACTTTATATTTAGATTAGAATATTTAAGAGAAGGATAGAGTGGATGAAAAAATATCAAATCAAATATTACAGCGGAATCCGACAGAAAGAAGAAAAAGATTTAGAATTAAACGTTATGAGGTTAAGGACGATTAACAACTTTTAACAAAAGATAATGAAAAATAAAGGGAAAAGAACGCACAGACACAAAAAATCTCACCGAGAGTAATAAATCTATAAGAAAAAGGAGAATGATTTGTTTTTGATAGAATAAGAAATGTTAATAACAGAATCAACACACTTACTAAATACAACCAAAAACCATATATTTTCTTGTAAACAAAACTAAGTTATACATTATCTAACATGCGAAAACCAAAATACCCACCATAGAGCACTTTCTTTTTACAGTTCGTCATTTTCACAGGACTTTAATACGATGGTAACTAATTACTACACTAAAAAGTAATTTCATTTCGACGAGAATTGGATCTTTAATTATTCAAGCTATATTTAAACTTGGCTAATGTCAAGATCATACGAGGCTTACGTCAAATTTAGAATATATAGACTTTTAATAAAAGCTTCAGAAGTATTTATTTTCGTGAAATTCCATTACTACTGAATGGTATTTTTTGAAAATTGCCAGTGGTATTAATGTTCACGTGAATCTTTCCTATTCGCGTTCATCGCACGATGAATTTTATTACAGAAAATGTGATACAAAGTAAAATTCTCTACATGTGGATCTGAATTGAGTTTCATATCTTTTATATCTCTACTGTGTTTTCATACGTTTCGGTTCGAGTTGTATTAGTATAGAGTATATTGTACAATGAGAATATATCTCTTAATATACTTAAAAATATTGCGAAATTCAGTGTTTGTACAAAAAGCCAACTTACTTGGATAAAATGTTGATGTAAAGATAAATACACTGTGGTAAAGTTGTAATTTTTTTCATCATTGAAATTAACGTGTCTCAACATCTACGACCATTGACACGGGTACAAGAATGTCTGGAGTATTACATTATATAAGATAAATACAGTAAGTTACATTAGATTTGGAAAAATATAGTGTTACAAAATTTATTTTTTTTAACGAACAATGTTACAATATTTGTAATATACGATAATATAATCTGCAATCTTTTAAAAAGTCAATTAGAGCACTGTACACTGTACAGATTTGGCAAACTAAGTATCTGTTTTAGGTTACCGTTTATATTATGCGCTAGTCTATATATAGTCTATAATAACTGCACTCAACGAGTAAGTGTTCTACTGTAAGGTGATGAGAATCACAGTGTTCACAAGCAGGTGGGTTTTCGAAAGTCATCAGGTATCAGGTAAAGCGAGTGTGTCCTATTCGAAGTCTTCGAATGATGAGTTTGTCCCTCCTAGTCATTGTAGGTATCTTAAATGAGTGTACAGTGGAATTGATTATGTGCAGTCTTATGTTTTGTCTATTCCAATGATTTTGCCATGTTTTACGAGTGTTTTGTTTTATGGTTGCTGCTAGATCTTGATGAAGTTGAATTTTTTCTAGGCGTAGGTCAGAACAATTTGCTTTTCTTGCTGCGATATCTGCAGACTATTTCAGCTGATTCCCACATGAGATAGGGTCCAAACAATGAGAGGTTCCTCTCTTACTTTGGTTCTGCTGTGGTTTTGCTGACAGATGTGTTGAATTTTTTGGACTATCGTATTAAGCGATTATATGTTGGCAATGAATTAAAGAAATGGAATCGGTGTATATAGCTAGAGATTTCGTATAAGGAGATATCCTTTCAAAAGCTTTAAGGATACCATATAATTCTGCAGTGTTTAAATACTACAAATGGTTGGTAGTCGGTGTAGAGCTAAGGTAATGTTTTGGTACAGACAGCATATCCAGTATTCTTTTCATCTTTAGATTCGTCGGTATAAAGAACTTGATTGTACTGTTTTGCATTGTTTGCTTTGTAGCGACAAGCTAATTACGAATAATTAAACTTTTGTATTCAAAAATTAAATAAAACAATCTCATATTAAAATTTACATTTTCGCAATTGGTTATACACATATTAGTAATGAAATCAAAATTGAAATGTGTTCCTCCATATGTTTATTTAATTACTACAGATATTAGATATGCTCGACACTTTAATTATACATTTTGAGTGCGTTGCATTTTTATGGGGGAACGTAATATAATATAGCAACCAGCCCTATAATTAAAGTTTATGGCTTTTAAAAACAAAGATGTGTGGTAGTTTAGTTGGTCCCAAAGAAAGGTGAGGAATGGAGACCCTGCGGAGATTATCGACGTCTAGACCAAAGGACTATTCCAGATCGATATCTAATTTTACACATCGAAGACTTTGGTCAGTCGCTAGCTGGTAAGATCATTTTCTCTACAATAGATTTAGTTAGAGCATACAACCAGATACCAGTAGCGACCGAAGATATACCAAAAACTTCCGTTATCACACCATTTGGACTGTACGAATATTTATATATGTCGTTTGGTTTAAGAAATGCAGGGCAGACCTTCTAACGTTTTATAGATGAAGTTTTACGTGGTCTTGATCTCGCCTACGCCTACATCGATGACATTCTCATTACATCAGAATCCGAAGAGCAGCATATATCACATTTAGAAGAAATTTTCAAGTTTGGCAAAAACGAGATTACATTTTTGGGATGTACAGTATCAGCAACAGTACTCAAACCTCTCCAAGAAAAAGTAGCACCTGTACAAAATATCACTCATCCTAAAACAGTGAAAGACCTGCGTAGATTTCTAGATATGTTGAATTTCTACCGAAGGTTTATACACAATGCAGCTGAGCTTCACGCACCACTACATGATGCACTAAAAGGAAATGTCACAGGAAAAGTACCAATTGAATGGACACCACAGCGGATCCATGCCTTTGAGGACTTCAAAAGTAGTTTAGCTAACGCTACTTTTCTGAGCCACCATGTAAACGATGTTGATATGTCCATCACTTGGTATGCTTCCGATTTTTGTGCTGGAGCTGTATTACAAAAAAACTGATACAGGTATAAAACCTTCTTCTTTTCCAAAAAATTCTCATTTCTCATCAATCACCTTCGCATTTACACAGAAGCTAGACAAGTGCAGTTCTAGACAATTTCGATATTTAGAGTTTATAGGACAGTTTTGCAACAACATTCAGCACATCTCTGGATAAACAAATATGTAGCAGACATTGGGTCGATAGCATTAAGAAAGATATCGACATCACGGCTCTTGCACAAGAAACAGGTCCAGAACTAAAAATATATTTAAGAGAGAAAACACCATTGCTATTAAAAAAAATACGGTTTCCTGAACAAAACGTTAGTTTGTACTGTGACATAGCAGCATCTACAGTCAGACCATTTGTACCGAAACAGATCTGTGAAGATGATCACACAGCGATATGTTTGGCCTTCAGTCAAATCAGATGTGAGAAAATGGACTCGAGCGTGTCTACAGTGCCAAAAATCAAAAATATCGCGTCACATTGTTTCACCGACTGGAAGTTTCCTACCACCTTTCAGTCGATTCGAACATGTTCACATACACATTATAGTGATGCCGATTTATGAAGGAAACAGATACTGTTTAACATGTGTCGACCGTTTCACGTGTTGGCCGGAAGCTTTCCCAATACCCAATCAAGAAGCAGATACAGTAGCCAGAACATTTTTTCTGGTTGGATAGCTCGTTTTGGCACTCCCAAGCGTATCACAACGAATCAACGTCGACAATTCGAATCACATCTCTTTAAATCACTCTGAAAATTATCTACCTATCACCCTCAAGCAAATGGCATGGTGGAAAGATTTCATCGACAATTAAAAGAAGCAATTTGATGCCATGAAAATATTCGATGGACCGAAAGCCTATTTGCCTATATGAGAACCATTGTGTGTTGCCCGGCGAATTATTGTTTTCGTTGCAAAGAAACACCGACGACAGTGCTCACACTTACTTAAAGACACTTCGAAAATCTCCGTCCTAAGCAACCGTCGCAGCGTGGGTCCAAAAGCACTTTTATTTTCAAAGAGATGAAAACAACCACTCACGTGTTTGTCCGCCGTAACGGAATCAAAGACGGTTTAGATAACCCATATCATGGACTTTTTCCAGTATTTCAACGAGGAGATAAAACATTTGTCGTCCATGTAAACGGAAAGGAAGTAACAATTTCCATCGATAGATTGAAACCTGCGTATGAGGTCAACGTAAATCAAGAACCAGAGCAAATTACAGTGTCAAGAGAAACAAACACCAACAACAATTTTGAGAACAGCAGACCCAAGAGGCAAACGAGATTTACGGGAATTTATCAAGCAAGTGTCAGTTAAAATATTTTTTTTCAGTGTAACATTTATTTTTAGTGTTTTTTTTTTCTCGTGTAAATATTGTCTTTTCTGATATACCTATTTGATTTTCATTGTAACTATGTATGTATTATCCATATTTCTCGAAGGGGGTGTTGTAGCGACAAGCTAAAGGAGTGGAGTGTTCTCTAAATTGTAAAATACTGAGCTAGTTGCACTTTATTGAAGTACATAGTTCTAGCAATACTTGTTTTTCGTCGAACTCGTAAAGATAGTCGGTTCTTTTTCATGAAAGATCTAGTCAAGTGTCAGACCACTGATTTACAGGTGAAAATTGATGTTCAATACGGTTTCTTACACAAAAAGAATAAATTAAAAAACGCAATGACTTCACCGTCATTCCATAAGATCGTTTGTCGAGTCCTTTGTAATGCCAAACTGTTTCGTTTTCTTGGATCTTGGTTAGAATTGCTTTAAATCTGCCTAAAGGCTGGACATCATTTTCTTTTTTCAACCTTTGCCGTAGTGTCGCTTTATGAAATCCCACAGCTTTTGCTGTCTCACGTAATAGAAACGCCATTATTATTATGTTTTGTATATAAAATCGGTTCGACACTACGGGCAAATTAAAATGAGGTGCATTCTTTTGCCTTGTGCGTTTTTTACCCTCAACTATCCTGATTTGAAGTTACTGTTACATAGTTAATTTTTCACTATGTAATAAAAAACAAAATTTGTTTAATTTACTGTTTGTATTTTGAGAACGATTTCCGAAGTGGAAATTGAAACGTCAATAAACGTATTTTTATCTTTAATTGTAGCTTATTCCCAGTTATGTAGTAATTAATTATTATTTCTAACTTTAAAGTTTTAAATTTAGTATTATTTTTTTTTAGAGATAGCTGAAAACTTTGCCAATAAGTAAGTCACTACGTCAGTTGGTCGACGTTCGATTATTTTCTTTTTAAATGATGCTTTTAGTTAAGGTTTGAAATATTGCTGTATAAAATAAAAATAGGTTTTGGCACCACCAGTGTGCGTAAAAATAATTTGGAGAAATTTTGTTGACAATCAAATAATCAATCAACCCAGCAACTTTATTCTGGTCTATTGGCTAGTATGTTTGC